TCATCACCTCAAGCAGCCAAACACGACCGCGAGGATAGCTCCAGGCGACAGCAGTGGAGAAATCAACGACAAGGACTAGACAGAGATGGCTCGACGTTGAAGAAAGAGAGGAAAGCTTCAACGTGCGACGATGAAGCAGGGAAGATCAGAATGAAAGAGGGCAGCGATGAGGAAAGGAATCTGGTGACAGCAATACTCCTAGCGGCAGGACATGACGATGAGAAAAGACAAGACCCGGCTGATTGTGAGCAAGAAGATCAACAACAAGAACAGAAAGGCGGTGCGACAGGGAAGAGGAGAAGGAAAATGAGAATAACGCTATCTCTCTGTTCCGCTCTACCCTCCGTGTTCGAATGAAGAGGCAAAAATAATATATATATAATATATATATATTCTTGTTGGAAAATCACACCTAAAGACCCCATCAGAATTTCTTTTTGGGAGAATGACAATTAAGGACCTCCTAAAAAAATTAATCCCAACTATGGATCGTGAAATTTTGAAATCAGAGTTAAGGACCATGGTCCTTAATTGTGATAAAAAAAATGTAATTTGTGATGTGGGATTCACTAATCCGACTTGAAAATTCACTAACCCAACTTGAGAAAATTACTAACATTATTGTGAAAACATGAAACCTCACTTGAAAATGGAATGTTTAACAAAAAGCGCCACTTGGAATTAACTAATTAGACTTGAAAAAATTTCTAACGTATATTGTGAAAAAATGAAACCCCACTTGAGAATCATTAATAAAAAGTGACTTATCCAAATTGGTGTTTTTTATTAAACAATCAATTCTCAAGTGAAGTTTCATGTTTTCACAATATACGTTAGAAATTTTTTCAAATCGAGTTAGTGAATTCTCAAGTGGCGCTTATTGTTAAACATTCAATTTTCAAATGGGGTTTCATGTTTTCATAATATACGTTATAAATTTTCTCAAGTTGGGTTAGTGAATTTTCAAGTGGCAATAATGAATCTCACATCACAAGTTACATTTTTTAATCACAATTATGGTCCTTAATTGAGATTTCAAAATTTTACGGTCCGTAATTGGGATTAATATTCTTAGCAGGTCCTTAATTGTTATTCTCTCTTTCTTTTTTGTTATTATAATAATCTATTTATTATTATTATTATTATTAATTTATATAATAAGATGCAAGGGCACTTAAGTAATTTCTCCATATAAAACAAAATAAAATTAACATTTAGCTTAAGTAAGATTTAAATTTTGGAACTTCAAGTAAGTATTTAGTATTGAGTCTACTAGGCTACTATTCACACTAGTTATAAAAGTAAAATATATAAATAAATAAAATATTAATTGAAAAATAATTATTTAATTTAAAATTTAGGAGTCATTACATTTACGATGGTATTTACAGCATATTATGAGGCATCTAACAATGGAATATGGTTGATGAATATCACTTGGCTGTGCTTATTGCAAAAAATAGAAATAGCATTAAGGTATTGTGACAACTAGATTAAATCCCCCTGCGTTGCACGGTTTTTTAATTAAAAAGTAATAATCAAATAAATATCTTGACATGTCATTGGAGAGGGTTATTTTATTTAAAATGATCTTTTAAAGATATAAATGAGTAAAGAAATTCTTATCAAACAACATTTCATTGTGTATTCATAAAATGGTAACTTAAGTATTATTAAAAAAAATTAACAAAAATGGTTGACTTTTTGTAAATTAATTAACTTAATTTAAGTATAATTTTATTATAACAATTGAACAATGAATTTATAAAGGAAAGAATGATGTCAATATAAACATTAGTCGAGAATATTGTTAGCCTGTCTTTTAATATTTTGTAGATATAAATGCAATTATAACAATCTCATATTTTATTCATTTATAACGTAAAATGTAAAAAGTTGTGAAATAAATTTCTTTAATTTAATTTTAAATGTTATCATATATTAGAGAGATTTTAATAATAAAATTAACTAAATGAGCACATTTCGAAAAAGTCAATATCATTATGTAGATTGAATGTCATGTGTTTCACAATTTTGAATTCATACAAATATAAGAGTAATTTTTTAAAGTTTGATATTAAACTAAAAATTAGAAAAATAATTGCATGATGAATTTTAAATAAAGATATCTTCAAGAACTTGAATAAAAATAATGAAATTGGCATATTAGACATGCGTAAGATTTATTTGAATATATACATCTTTAATTTAAAGAATATAAATGTTGTAATAATGAATTCTTTTATATTGTGGATGTGAAAATATCGTTAATAGTTAAAAGAATATTAGTAAAAAAAATTGATATCCATTGTGTAAACAGATGGAAGTTATTGAAATCATTTCAAATAAATTTTTTATGCATATTAATATTTTAATAGTAGCAAGCAATGTTTATTTAGATCATTAAGCATGATGGCAAACTGCAGAAAATTAATCATGACAAGATGCTATACAAAATTATTTGTCAGCATTCTCTTTTATCATGGTAATATTATCGGTGACAAGATTGTAGTAATAATGTCTACTATTTATAATTATTAATCAAAGGTGACACTTGGACATTTTATTGTTTCCTCAATTTATTGTTTCTTCATATCATTTACCTCCAGGATAACAATCTCCAGTGAGTTTCCTATGTCTCTGGCTCAGTTGAGTGTTTGATGTACTTGGATCTCTTTTCCGACAACTTTTCAGGTCCAATTGCTTTTCAATGAACACCCACTTGACCGGTCTATTCTTGCAAAACATTGGGTTTCCCGGTGACCATGGGAGAGTTTTGTCTAAAGAGGGCGTTTTGGTAAATACACATAAAAATTTAATTACATTTAAGCTCTCTAGGACTACAGAATAATTTATATAATAGATGGGATTTTAGAGTATTTTTTGTTGTTGTGCGAGACTTTTAAATAATTATCCCTGAAAGAAAAATCACAAAGTATGAATATAGCTTATTAGAGAAGGAGAATTTTCAGGGACACCAAATTTTATTAGTTGGATTGGATTACACGAAACTTACTCTATTTGACACGCAAGTAACGTGTAATTTAAGAGCTTGATCCGAAACTTTGCAAACAATTGTATTTAATATTTATTATTGCCTGGTCTAAAAGTATTAGATTTGCATTGGTAAAAGAAATGCGATGTGGAAGTCCTTGACATTGACATCGTAGCAACTTTCGGCAAGACAAATGACTCAGATGGTCTCTGCTTCCTTTTTTAATCCTTGAGGCCGACCTATTCACTTTCGGAGGAGCTGACCGCCTTGGAAGAGACGGAGCTTCAATTGCAACATTCCAGACAAAGTGAGGCGAATCTTCAAATGGCGTATGGCGGTGTAAACGGCCTGATTTTCTCCATATGGGTAAGCAAATTCTAGTCTCGAAGAGTTGCATCTTTACTAATTATGAGTGTATTTTTTCCATATGGGTATGAGCAGCTTGATTTTATGCACAACGGTAAGTATATATGACTGTGAGAATCGTACATGCAAGTCTTAGGTTTCTGATTTTGAAAAACAGGAATAAATGATTGGTTAATCATATAAGGAGATGTTTTTCCTGTTGTATACATCTTATATGTGATGACGATAAAAGGAATGGATGTGTTTTGGAGCATACAAGTGGGTTCTAAAGCATACATATTTCTTGCAGTAATGTACTTTCTTTAAATCATAGTCTTCAAGATTCTATATGAAGGACTAAGGAGCACTTATATGTTAATTTTTGTGCAGATTGTGTATGAATCATTCAAGGGATTTTAGGTAAAATACATCAGAATCCAATATCTAAGAGATGAAATGAATACTGCATTAACTAACAGGGATTGAGTGGAAGTTTTTTTAGTACAGGGAAACCAACTTTAAAATAGAAATGCGCTAGAATGTTGTATGATTAGGCGATATGAGGAATAAGCACCAGCTGAAAGATATGAAGAGTAAACACCAGCTGAAAGCTCTGCTTCCTGAACACAAATGCTGCCATTAAGCATAAGGTACAAAAAACCAAACCATTTAAATAATATAATACAATTGATTATAAGGATAGATATATCGAGATGTAGAAAATTTTCATTATAATTAGTACGCATGCATCATATTTTAGTTATTTGAATTAATTTCATGAACCCAAGGCTTTGAAGGTGACAAAAAAGACATACAAGTTATTGTAGCTAATATTTTTTTGGAGATGATGATGATAAAGGAATGGATGTGTTTTGAAGAATACGAGTGGGTTCTGAAGCATGTATATGTCTTGCAAAAATGTACTCTCTTTAAATAATAGTCTTCAAGATTTTATAATAAAGAGCACTTATAGGGTAATTTTTTGTGCAAATCAAGTTTGAATCATTTAAGGGATTTCAGTAGAATGCATCAGAAACCAATTATCTAAGACATGAACTGAATATTGAATTAACCAACAATTATTGAGTTCAATTTTTTTTTTTAAACACTGGAGACCAACTTTAAAATAGAGTTGCGCAAGAAGGTTTTATGATTACATGATATAAAGAGTAAACACCAGCTGAAAGCTCTGCTTCCTAAACACAAATTCTGCCATTAATACATTTGATTATAAGATGGATAGCTACATCAAGATGTAGAAAAATTTTAATTAGCACGCATGCATCATATTTGAGTTATTAAAATTAATTTCATGAATCCAAGGCTTTGCAGGTATTCAACTTGTTAGTTTAGGATCACATTTCAAGGATAGGTTCATTTTATGAGTTTTTGTGAAGTGGGTTTCCATCAAAACTAAGTTTATTGGAATTCAAGTGCTTCTTTAGTTAAACTAAGATTGTTGCAAACATGGTGTTTGAATGCTAGAATTATATCAGTAGTAACCTTTGGAAAACTCATGTGATAAACATGTGAGGATGTAGTGATCTAATTCTATGAGATTTTTAAATTTTGGTGCAAATAAATTTTAGATACGACTTTTGCGGGATTTGAGATCAAATGTCTTGGATCTCAATTACTAAAGTTAATTATTGTAATAATAACAATTTGTTTAATTACCAGTAATCACCAATTTCAATTGCAGAATCATGGAGATTATTTTCAATTGGTTATTTAAATCAAATCATTTAATTCCCACCTATTTGATTCATAACTTCACTCATAGGGCATCAACCTTTAGTCAAAACTTTATAATTAATTTTTTCAATGTTTTTCCTAATGAAAATAGTAATTAACAGTATTAAATATTAAATAATATCTTAAATATGGCGTTATTGTTTACAATTTTCTAGTGTTTGACTTTTGCATGTTTCCAAAGTGTCTTTTTTTAATGTTATACATTTACTTGCAGATAATTCATAACAAAAAATGATGGAATTACAAATTAAGATTTTAGATGGTGTTAGTAATTAAGATAATTGTTAACACATTCATTCATTGTAGATAAATCCCCCCACCCCTTGTGTTTTAGCTTCTTTAATTAATGTTTCCATCTAATCCAGGCAACGGCAGATGATTAGGAATAGTCTCTTGTCGTGGCCAATGGTTTTGCTCTTCACTGGACAGTGATTCAATTGACGTGCTGATTCAGGCACTGAGTATTGATCATATTCTCTCCTACTGTTATCGGCTCAGCTTCTACCATTTTACTTTTTTCAGCCTTTAGATTTTACTTCATATCCACTGATCTTCATTGCATAGTTCTCCATTTGGTTCCCTCCTCATTCTTAGGAAGATACATTTGTGTGTTTTCTTGTATAGCATGAGTGAGTTAATTTAGTCCTAATCTAATTGAAAATTCCTCTAAACTATAGAATTAGTGACATTTTGCTTCCATTGGATTTTTGGATGACCCTCTTCTTTCGGTGATCTCTTTTTATCAGTATTGAATAACAGCTATTTGATGTATTGCTTTTGTGAAAATGATTTTGTTTGAAGATGATAACTTGTTGATGAATATGCACATGCAACATTCATAAAATGATTTGTTTTCTCAATTGTTTCATTCATCAGTATAAGCATTCTTACTTTCTAAGTGGGGAAATCCTAAATACACAAACTTTAATTTCATTTTCACAAATCATATATATAGATGTTGAAATCATGAACTAATTACATGGGCTAGTATAAGATTGAATTTGCTTATGATATCTAGTATAAAATTTGGATTTTGTCACTTGTACCGATGAAAGAAAGGAAAAGTCAGGTCCTGCACGGGACATACGATCAGTCATTTATAATTGTTTAACATTATCAAGTTTAGTTTTGCTACCCTTTAGTAATATTCGTTATCTTTTTAGTATTGGTGTTTGCCTTCTGTTAATTAATAGGTGTTGTCTCTTACTATAGATCGATAGAGTATCAAGTGATCTTAAGTAGATGTAAGATTTTGGCTTTAGAAAACTTGCTTTTGTTTTCAATTAGTAATTATGGATAATAAATCAGACAATACATCTATCAAAATGTAAGTCAAGGCATTATTTATGTATAATATGATCAAGTTGAATATATAGAGGCTTTTAGTGAATGACAAAAGTTTATTATCATTGGCTAAGCTACATTTTGAAAAATTTCTTTGTAAACTACATTGACAGTAGAGACCCTTGGATGTAAATTAGTATCATGAATTAGAATTTTGAGAACACCCCTAGACCTAACTCTCGACAAAGCTACATACAACTAACCATGTGAGAAAACAGGCCTCAGTAAATATATCCCAACTCTTGACAATGATTGTCCTTGACTCTTGTTTATTGTCATTGCAAATGAAAGTACTATTAAGAATTGTCGTCGATGCATAAGGAAGGGTAGGCTTCCCTCGAAGGGACTTAAATCCATATGATGGACATAAACTTCCTCACCTGGTCATAAACCATTTAGTGTTAGTCCCCTTATACAATGGTTTCCCAATAATGTTATTTGCAGTCTTGTTCCATTGCAAAGACTATTAGCTTGGTTGATATTCTGTATAAGCATGACTTGAACACCAACTTTAATGGTTAATTTGAGTAGAGCCATGCCAGAACACTCAACTGTGTTGAGAAACTTAGTGTTGTAGATGTCATCAAAAGAATTTGAATCTTGGTCATCCTTGCAAATTGTGTATGAACTAAAATATGTCACTTCTTCACATGAAGATTTTGAATAGATATAGTTATTTAGCTTATGAACAACTTCAAGTGTTAGAGCTAAAATTGCTCGGTCTGTGAAAAAATTTTCTTCTCTATAGTTCTCTTCTAATGTTAGGTAAGTAGTTTCAACAATCGTCTTCAAAGGATTTGAAAATTATGTTATTAAGAGATCATGAGGTATATTTATTTTTGAAACATTATCATTTTCTCCTCTAAATGTTCCATCCCCAACACTAAGAAACCAATCTAAAAAGGTTTTGATCTTGTCCTTGTCTAATGATTAGTTATATGTACTCAATCTCATGTTTTTTTATCAACTTGTACATCTTACAATAACACCAGAGATATGAAGAATTTATTAAGGTATTAACAACATTTGCTCTATCACTGCTAGTAACATTGGAAGAATCTGTCTAAAATCACCTCCAAGCACAACTACCTTCCCCCCTAAAAATTTGATCACAATGCATGATATCTTTCAAGCTTTTATCAAATACCTCTATATAATATTTTTTAATCATAGGAGCTTCATCTCGCATAATGAGATCAGTGTTTGAGAGAAGAGTTGCAATAGCTGTACCATGCATGATATTACATGTAGAATCTTCACTTATATTTATGGGGATGGAGAACCTAGAATGAGCTGTTCTTCCAAAAGGTAGTAGTGTTGCCATAACTGCACTTGATGCAACATGTAACACAATCTTTTTTTAGACCTCATGTATGCTATTAGAGCATTCCACATAAAAGTCTGACATGTTCCCCCAAAACTATACACAAAGTAAAACCTACCTTTTTTTCCTTTACAACTTTTATGATATCATCATAAATTATCCTCTACTCATCTGTCATTTTTTTCTCAAATGTAGTTCTTTTTTTGATGTATTCATTTGAGTTGAAGCTTAATTCTTCCATTACCAAATGATTTTGTGTGTCATAATTAGTCACAATAGTAGGCTTAGGCAATGTAGGATAATCATCAAGTGATCTTCCATTTTGAAGGAGAATCTTGTTTATTTCTGAGAGTACTGCATTTTGTCTATCTTCATCTGAGAACATAGAACATGTAGCATTGAGATATATATAAGAAAACTTCAACCTCAGCATGACAATCAAGGTGATAATAAAATTAAATTTAAATTAGTTAATATTGTAGTGATTGAGGTATTATTTCTTACTATTAAATTTAAATTTTGATTTAGATATAAATAATCGACATACGAGGGATATTTTAAGTTGTGGTTTAGATGTAATGTCCTGTATCATACTGAATTCCGATGTGGAGTAGAATATGTCCTCATATATTAGATTGGAAGTTTCCTTCCAAACCTTTTTTGGCTAGCTAAGACAATTACTTAGCAACATGTTTGCAAAGAATCTTCTTAGGTAATGACTAGATGCCCAAATTGAGGTCTTTTTAATTCCATCAATGTACTCTTGATTGTCATCTAATAGTCCCAAAGTATAGCATGCAACTCTGTATATTGGGTATACTACATCATTAACTGTTTTGATGTCTTCAAAAGATGTTGGCCCTTTTACTTTCGTTAAAAGATAGCGAATGAGAAAAGATTCACCCTGTGACAGCAATGCATGTGTAATTCTACTAATGGAGAATCCTCTTTGGCATGACCTTCATTTCTTTGTTTTCTTATCAAACACATAATGAGCGAGGAATTCTAAATAAGTTAGAGATCCTGCCATTATGTCATTCGAATTTGAATTTTTCTCCATCCAAGCTAGAAACATAGTTTCTCTAATAGTATTTTTATACATTAAACTTGAACACTTGAACTTGCCTTGTATATGACAATTTGCTTGTTTGAAAGATGGTAGCTTAACCTCTCCATGAAAGGGTACTTGTGGTAAATGTCGTAACCAAAAATTCTCCATGCTCCCTCACAGGATGAAATGTACCTACAATTCAAGTAGTATGATATTTCATCAAATATTGCTCTAGAGTTGTTGTCATTGTTGTTATTATACATCCCTGCTACAATCATTCCCTTTGCTAACATATTTGAACAAATACTTAATTAAAGTTGGTTGATTAGTTTTCTCAACATTAATATGAGCTTAAAACATCTTCAGCAACTTTGGATTGTATGGGACAATAAATTTGTTATCTAACACAACCCCTTTCTTGACAATTCTTCTCCCATCATTCCTCCTTCTATAAGTTAGGTAGCCTTTGTCATCAATAACAGTATGGTCAATAAATTTTTTAAGGAAGAATTTACTACATCTTCCTTCCTTCATGCATAAAGATCTTGAATTCACTTGTCCACAAAGGTCTATGAGTCATGTAGTTGTTGACTAAATTGTACAAAACAGGGTCCTCATCTTTATTAGGTATTTTATCTGAGATGATATTGTCAATCTCCTCAACAGTGTTCATTTTGTCTTTGTTTTCAAGGAAAAGTATAATATGAGCATATGGTAAACCTCTCTTTTGGAACTCAATGGTGTAGATATCTAGCATTATTTTAAAAGTTATATTTCATATGGCTAATGATGCATAATGTAACATGGTAGGTAAATAAGAAAAAGCAAAGTATGAGCCAGAAAGGTTGAAAATGTACTTGCTTTTACCATGCCAATTTTTTTTCCTTTATAATTTTCATAAGCTTGTTCAATTTGAACTGGAAAATCCTGCACAATATATCTAGATGGTCATTTACTGATAGGTTAGTTTCCTTACAAAATCTCCTAACTTCAAGCTATGCCAAATTGCAAGTGAATGTGATGAATATGTCTAGGTACCCAGCCCATTTATAGATTGTCATTATGAAATGGTAATTGTTTGTCATGTATCATGTTCCACTAGTGAATGATAAAGTAGAATAATCCTTTTTCTAGTTGCAAATGCTTCGGTTTCCCCTCTAAACAATGCATTGGATAGACCTTGGTACAAATCTACCCTTAGCTCACTTTGATGATTTCTAATGAAATCCAATCTTTGACTCTCCATCATTGTATAACCATCAATGATGAAATTATTGTAGAAGTCTTCTCCCATAAAGAAGCAAGGATACCTTGTTATCCATATCCATCAACCTATAACAAAGGTACTCTCTTATGGAGAGTGTCTTCTTAGATGTGCTTGCTAGCCTTTCCTCTTCATGCATTCTGGATTGTAGCCATTCTTTCCAAAAGGAAAGAGTAAAGGATATTGTAGAGGGAGATATGACTGTGAATTTCATCTATTATTTTCAATTGGCCTCTCTTCTCAACAATTATACCTCTCTTTGAGTATGTTTCATCAAAATCCCTAACCACAAGAGTCGCTACTTCTGAAGCAATAGGCAAGTTGAAATTCCTGCTTTCTATATCATTATTTCGTATAAGGCATAATTTGGCTATTGCCTTTGGATTTTCTTGCAATATGTCTCTTGCCATTTTGTATTTTTTGACCAGTTCATTGTATGAATCTAAAACCTCCTTTATATAACGTACAATTTTAGCTTCTTATGCATCATCCCTTGAATTCTTACTGTAAGGGAAAATAAAAAATGTTACTTTAGAGTCTAAGGATGCAATTAATTCATGATAAGCAAATTAATTGAGAATTAAGGTAATTTTTAGATAATGAATTCACCTGACAGCATTAATCCTGTTTGAAATTTCATTATCCATATCATATATGTACAGTTGGGAATAGATTGGTGGTGATCCAGTTTGTGGCAAAAGACTTCCTAGGCGATGATAATGCTGAACAGAAAAACAAATGTATATAGACTACCCCTATTATTAAGGGAGTGATTAATCTTACCACCCATAGAAGTGAAAGAAAATATATTATTATAAGCTCTTATGTTTTCCTAGAAGTTTTTAGAGTATTGAAAATGCCTATTGAAGTATAGTTTATACAATTCTTGTGGTGGGTCCTTAAAGTGAGGCACTTGTATCTTCCCATGACAGCAACACATTGAAAATATTAGAGTAACTTTACTTAATGCTCATTTAAGACGTTCAGATAACCACATTTTGGCTCCACAATGTTGACAACTATAAATAGGGTCTCCATTGTCTAAGTATTCTAAAAATAAATGGTTGGAAAGTGATAGATAAAATCATGTACTGTTAATATTGAATGCTAAAAGCTTTCAAAATATGACATTTTATTATAGAAGACTGTAGAATACCTAAAATGTCTTCCATATTGCCTTTTATTTGATAATCCCATTCTAGGTCCACATTTTGGTCACAATCTTGTTTTTCACCATTGGATCCTATAAGATAGATTTTGATGTATAGGGAAATAGTTATTAAGATTGGGTGAATGATATAGGAAACTCCAAGCGTATTATTCAATTATTTGTATGTTCTAGGTACCCATATGAATTGAATATCCGAAACTTTATTATAGATTTGTTGTTAAGTTATTGAACTTTTGTGTCATTAAAGATTTAGAAACTTTGGTAGTATGATGATTTGGATTGAGTTCTTCATGAATAGCTTGATTCATCTCAGCTGCAGAAGAACTTTGTATGGCACATGGTGTGAGAGATGAAAGATTGATTTTTCCATGTTGACTTTTCTTTTTAATCCTAATGAAATATTTGCAAGAAGACTGCATCTCTTGCTTTTGCTTAAACTATTTAAAGAATCTGTGATGATCGATATAAGATACATGAGTATGTTTATCCAAATTAGTCAATGTTGAAAACTTTAACGAGTTTTTGAAAGTATATAAATACCATTTGAGATGTCTTGTAGAGGTGATCTATTGACATTAGTTCTTTCTTGATGATCATCTTCTTCAGGTGTCTGGAATGTTAATGAAGAATGAACAAACTATGGACTAAAAATTAATTGCTTCTTTGTTCTGTTGCATGACATCTCTTGAACTTCAGTTAAGGCCTTTGTGTTCTTTACTGTAAAAGGTTTTAATCATGTTGATTACACTTACCATATATAAAAAATTGAAAGTGTTTAAAATAACAATAATGACAATAAGTCATGATATATGTTAAAGATTATATTTTGAAATGTAGTATTAGTCTCTGTGTCTCTAAGGTTTTTAAGAAAATAAACATTTCTTTGTGGTCCATATGCATGTAATCTAGCTGCTTTCCTTTTATGCAGGATTGACTTCAAGTAAGGATGAGAAACTTCTCTTACACATGAATAATATGACATAAATAGATAATGATGCATTGAGGAGGTGGCTTAAAGATTGTAATAATACCAGCAGAGTTTGAAAGTTTGTCTTAATTGATTTTTAACTTTTTTAATATGTCGAGATAGTGAAAGGTGATCTTTAACTTTTTTAAAATCATTATTATTATAATAATGTGATAGTTGCAAAATGGTTTTAGATGGTTTGTGAATCTAAATCCACAAATTTGTATTGCCATTTGATCTTATTTTTTGTCTTGAACATTTGTGTAACATAACTATTTCATTAGTTGAACTTTATGTTAAACAAAAATAAAGTTGAGGGTACCAATCAGCTTTTTCATTGGACAAAAGCTTAATATTAAATAACCATTACAATATCCAATGTGCATTTAAAAAGTTCATAAACATTGATAAATGGTAATTTTATATATTTTTATCCTTTTAATTTAGACTTTTAAATATTTATTTAAGACTAATTGAGTTTAATTAGATATTATTTGATTTTATTAGCCAATATTCAGTTTTAAAATTTTAACTATCTAAATTTATGATTTTAAAAGATAAATTATATCTTTAATATTTGTGCACAAGTGCTATTTTATTTTATTTTATTTGTACATATCTTCTAAATTCAATTTGAAAGATATCAATAAAGATTATTTCGAATAAGAAGAATATAGGCATGCTTGGAGATCAAATCAAGAATTAAATCTTTAAAATTTAGTTTAAATTTATTTTGGATAATTTAGTGTAGTTTTTAATTAGGGTTATTAGTGTAATTTTATCATTTTATTATTAGCTTTTGTATGCACTGGAATGCATCATCAATTTTATATATAAAGCAAGGAACACAGCACGCAAAGGCATCACTTGACGGTGAAAAAAATCAGAGAGGAAATAAAGAATTAGAGGCGACGTTATAGTTTTGTTTTTAGTTCCATAAAGAGCTAAATTTTTGATGTAATTAATCACAAATCACGATCTTAAATCTTAATCAAAATCTTTGATATTTAAGGAAGAATTTATTTTAGCTTTATTCCAATTTACTTTTCTTCTCTCCACTTCTGAATTTTATGATTTAATTGCCATTGCTGATTAGAGTAGCTTTATTGCATAATTTTTGAGTTATAAATTTTATCTGAGGTTTTGCTTGCTATAGTCGATTGATATAGTAACATAAGAGTAATTTGGCCTAGCTTGGGTGATTATCCATGCTTTGTTTTTGGTGTGGCTAACTTGAAATAATTGTTAGGTTGTGGGTTGAGGGAGATTTCAATTAATCTATAATTTAATTTATTGTTTAATTTTTGAATGATAATTTGAGAAATATATAATGAAACCAGAATAATAAACTTAAATAAAATTAATGTATTTTGTGGACGAGGAAGATTAAATTTAGGTGATTGAGTTTTGATTAATTGCACTGCTTGTTCTTGATAATTTTCTTAGTTGAATTTTTAATTCTAATTTAGTTTTAATTTCATCATTAACAAACCCCCCATTATTTACCTTTTTATAATCATAATTCAAATAGTTACTCTACTGACTCTTAAAGAGACAACCTAGGTTGCGCTTTACTATAAAATCTAGTTTTTATTAATTTTGATACTATTCAATAGTAGTGTCAAACATCCCATAAATTCAAGTCAAATTGCTATCTCGCTAGGTGGGGAAAAAAAGAAGCTTAAACCAAATAAAAACTTAATACGACTAAAATATAAAATAAAATCAAAGCTAACAGATATAAATTTAATTTTCTTTCTTGATCCAACAGGGATTCTTTGTGCTGCTAAAATTTGGTGTCGACATTGCCTCAATTCCTTCATCCCTTTCAGCATTTTCATAAACCCTCTTCTTGCCCTTACCATTAGAAAGTTTTGGGAATTGAGGTGTTGCAAGTTCCACTTCATCATCAACCATCATGTAATGTGGGTACTTCTTGGATCCTGAAGATTCAAAAGGTGTTCCCACTATACCATCTAATGCACTATTAGTTAGAAAGACTTTTGGAAGAATTAAGTCCAAAATGAATCATTATGTTTGAATTTTTTTATGACATATTTATTCATCATTAGCAATATTTCACGCTTGGTTCTTATCTTTATAACTTAGATGTGTGGAAATAGATAATGAAATGAAAGAATTTTTTTAATGTAAGCACTTTTTTTATAATTAAATTAATAGAAATTTATGACTAAGTATAGTACCAGTCTATGGGTATAGGTGAATCTGTTCATGATGTCAATGTCTTCAGTATGTTGTGAGACACTAATTCCAGTAGATGGGTTCTGTATGTTGAACTCTGTAATGTTGAGTCGTACAAGCATTTCCTTCCTATTCAAGATGTTGAATATCCTTAGGAAGGAAGTAGATCTCTTTTGTTTTGATGGTAAAGAGACTCATTTTTCAGAATTTTTTGTAATAAACCATATAAAAGTAGAGCATAATGTCATCTAACATGGTTTCTCATTGTCAGTAAATTTGATGCTGTTGTCTCGAGCAATTCTACAGTAATTTGGTTGAAGAAGACAATAAAACAACGGCCATAATTGTCACTTGCTGTGTAATGTACTCTAAACCTATGTAAAGAAAAGAAATAGGTATTTGCTTAATTAGTTAAATAGGATGTCTCTCCACAAGTGATTAAAAAAATGATAGAGCATCAGTAACATGAAGTGATGACTATACTTTGGCTCTAGGGGTAGATCAATTTTTTTTTACATGTTTTGCAGTAAGGTTTTTCTAGATCATTTTGCTTGGGTTTGGCATCACATAGGCCACATCCTTCATAGTACCACATCTGGGAAGTCTCCACTTTCATAATCTTGCATTTTATCACAACTTTACACACCTTTTACATATATATGATAAAGACTAAATGTCATTTATTATATGCTTTACTTGGAGTATTTGAGTGTGTGTGTGTGTCAATGTGAAAACATAACTAAAACATGGCAACGTAACATTTGAAAGATTTAAAACTATTACACTGTCAAGGTCCCTTAATTTGCATATAGGAATTCTAATGGGTTTTTAGACACAACTTGTGAAAATGTTTGAGACAAGTCTTCAGAGTTTCTTGCATTGTAAAACAATATGTGTTCATTAAATAATATCATAGTAGATGGATGTGAAGGAAAAAGATTTAGGAATGAGGAGAGGAGTACATGGCTAGCAACTTTTCAACTATATCAGTCGATGGGTTAAAGTGCACATGGGTTGCTGTTCCATAGTTGCTTAGTTGAAGCTTGTCTGGTTTAAAAAAGAAAATAGTAGATTCATAATAGTTATATATATATATATATATATATAATGATGTAAGTAAATATAATGAATGGAAGATTTAAAATTTTACTCTTGTAGAAGTGAATGATACACAGTTGAACAACAACAATTATTGGTGGATTCATTTTTGATGTTTTTGCATTGAAAGCATTATGTGCACTCTCGTCGAACAAGACAATATTGATTGACCTCTCCCTATATTTATGTAGAATAGCAAAATTAGGATGAATTGACAAAATGTTCATTGGCTAGGATGCTTAATAAGAAAAAGACAAGGGATAGAAAAAATGTTGTGAATTAAAATTTCTCACTCTTGATTAGCAATTGTGAATGACAACCTATTCTTGTTCTCAAGACCACTTTTATGATCCTGGATCGTGACAAGCCCTTAGAGGAAGCCTATGACATTTGTAAGATTCTCAAATAATAAGGTATGCTAAATTAGTTAACATGAAAGATCAATTGGAGATTAGATGCTCACCAGCTAAATGGTCAATGTTTGTTTTTCATTTTTTCATATATGCTTTCTTGATAATATCTTTTATAGGGAATAAGTTGAATCCATAAGGAGGAATTTTTGCATCATGAGTATGGACAAATGTGTTTGCATGAAAATTGATCTTTCAAGGATGCATGGTAGCCTTGTTGTCCTCATTATTAGTTAGAATTTCAAAATTTTCTATGAAGTACACTTTTCCTTCGGTAGGTTCAGCTTCAAATTGTTTAACTTAATTCTTGGTCTGGATAGATGATTGGATTTGTACTCCCTAAACATAATAGTGAAAATTATCATAATTGTTAATTTAATCGAAAAAGAGAGTGAAAACATTTTGTAATGTATGAATACCTTCTCATTCTTAAGCAAGAAACATATGTTTCAAGTATTGTATGGTAGATTTTTCTGTTTTAGATACCACTTTCTTACCACTCTCACAACAATACACCATGTTTCTTGAGAATCATTGATGTCACTCAAGTAGTCATACTCATCAAAGGAAAGATCTTTAGCCATAGCAGTGTCACAAATGAATATTAGTGTTACATAAATGAAATAGCGGCACTCTCATTGATAGGAGAAGGGTCCCTTGCATTTTTGTACTTTGCTTTTTTTTTTTGTTATAATTAATCAGACTGGTAAAAAATAGGCTATGTATGAGGGATTTTGCTTTGGGAATGATGGAGCGAAATTTATGTCGGAATAATAAAGGAATCAAGTAGGACCACAAATGAGGGGATTTTATGATATACTATGGTTGAATGGGACTAATATTAATAGAAGGGTAACCTAAATGAATTAGCGGCACTGTCATTGATAGGAGAAGGGTCCCTTTAACTTTTTACACAATTGTTTTTGCTATAATTAATTAGAGTTGATAAACACAAGCTACGCATGAGGGATTATTGCCTTGGGAATTTTTCCAAAACCTTTTTGTCATAATCACAATAGTTACATTCAAAAAAGAATAATAAACAAATCAAATAGGACCAAAAATGAGGAAATTTTATCATAGATTATGGTTGAATGGGAGAAAATTTACCAAGAATAAATGTTGACTGTAAAGTTATTATTACGTTCAAGGAAAACGTATGAATATTAAATGAAATTTTTAAAATAAAATAGTGAGAAATGAGTACTGATGTCATTAATATTAATTTTTTGGCTAGATGTCATTAATATTAATTTAATGTCATTATTATCAATTAATAATTTTTAATAGTAATATTGTCATTAGGTTTTTCAGTTGTTAGTCACACTAATTTAAATTTCTTCAACTATAACTATTAGTTATAAATGGTCATATACAAAACATAAGTTACAGTTCGAAAATATTAATTACATGTTTAACTAATAAATGTTATTAAATTATTTATTAGCATTTATTTTTATAATTGTCAAACAAATGACGTTAAAAATATAAAATGAATAAATTATGAAGGATATATGCATTTACAATAAATTGATCAATTGAAATGTAACCAAAGTATATAAATCAATGAAAGTGAATGAATTTTACACCAATCAACTGCTTGCTACAACATTTGTATAATATATTTGATTGATTATTGATAGTTGATGATAAGGTATCAATGCATATTCCAAGAACAACAGGAGTTCATTTAAGTACATAAATATTAAGTTCCTAATAGTGAAAAGGAGGGTGAAGAGTGGACACAGATCCATCTCACACATATGGATGAACTCTATGTTGGATGCTTACCTGAAGGTCCAAAGTTCAAATCTTATTTAAGCCAAAGATTAGTTTGATTTTGTTTTATATGAGGAAATTAC